TTGAGATATGCAGACGATATAGTCCTGATAACAGATAAGAAGGAAGAGTTACAGAAGATGGTTGAGGAACTAGATAGAAAAGCGACAGAGGTAGGTCTAGAGATGAACTATAGTAAAACCAAGACTATGACAAACCAAGAAGACCAATTAGAAATAGTAGTCAAACAGAATAAATTAGAGCAGGTGGCAGAATACATATACCTAGGACAGATAATAAAGCTGAACAGGGACAATCAAACAGAAGAAATAAAAAGAAGAACTAGACTAGCATGGGCCTCATTTGGTAAACTATCATATATTCTAAAAAATAAAAAGTTCCCTCAATATATGCGAACGAAAGTATTCAACCAGTGCATTTTACCAGTTATCACATATGGCTCACAAACATGGACTTTCACAAAGGAGAACATCGACAGGATATCCAAAACACAAAGAGCAATGGAAAGACAGATGCTGGGTATCGGTCTTAAAGACAGGAAAAGAAACTCATGGATCAGAGAAAAAACAAAGGTGAACGATGTATCAAGACAGGTTGCAAAACTTTAATGGAACTTCGCCGGTCACACTCTCCGGCAAAAAGATGAAAGATGGAATAAGCGAATTCTACACTGGAGACCATGGGAAAAGAAAAGAAAAAGAGGAAGACCACAGATGAGATGGACTGACGATCTTAAGAGAACGGCAGGAAAGGACTGGATGCAGATCGCCCAAAATAGAGACCAATGGAGATTAACAGGGGAGGCCTATGCCCAAGAGTGGGCGTCTAAGGCTGATTAGATAGATAGATAGATCCCATTTGCGTTTTTTTTTTTGGATTTAAGTTTTTAAAAATAGTGGTGACTTCTGTTTGAGGAGTTGTTCTCTTCCCTGTATATTTTTTATTGTTTTGCATCTATTCTTTCTTCTGTTTTATTTCTCTATGGACAAAGCAATGGTATTTTTGAGTATATTGTGTATAAGTGCTTTAAATTAACTTCTTGATAATTCAGTTCAACATGTATGGTATAACCTCATATGATGCCATCATTTCAGTAATCTTTTTATTAAATTGGTCTTTTCATTATTATGGCCTGAAATAGATTTTCGAACGTTTGATTCCTTATTGCCTTTTCTATCAGAATCCTGTCCTGCTCCATTTAACTAACAGATAACCAATACACATAAAGTGCAATATTATCCCACATCCACATACATGTTTCTGTATTGGGACCGTGCAAGTTCAGAACAGCGACACCTGGTGTCGTAAATTAGCAAAATTTACTGCGCTTTCATGTTAGATCGAGGTTACCGGATAACTGTCAAGGACGTAGCCCCAAAAAAGAATAAGAAGAAAAAGTAAGATTGAGGTTATGTCGGTATGTTATTAAAAGGTAAACGTTGTATGTAGTGTAAATACAAATATATATATATTATTAAATTACAGCATTACTGTTAATATGGATGCAATAATAAAAACTGGATTTGAGAAAGTAAATCACCAAATAACTTTTCAACCAAGCACTGAGTCAAAGGGAAAAGCTAAATTAGCAGGTTAAGCCCATGATATCATCATATTGGTTTGAACAATTAATTCTTTTCCTGTAAACTTTTGGACAGCGAATATATCTTAATGCATCTTCAGAAAAACTTGAACTTGATGCATTTTTGTAAACTTCAAAAAAATAAAATTCAAACATTAAACTTGATTTTTGGGTTAAAATGAACTCTAAGTGAGTGTTATGAAACTAAAATTTACACTTAAAAGTGAACTTTTATTTATTATATACATATTTCAAACTGACTTTAAAATCGGGCGCAAGAATAATGCATAATTTAGGTTATGTTACTTATGCTTTTTTATAATATAAATCCACTTTTCTCTTTGTAGTAGCTTTGTGCTTCGAAGTTGGAAACGAATAAAACTTAAATTGGCAATTTTTTTGTTGTATTTTTATAATTTATAACACATCATTTCCTAAATCCCATTTTCTTCAGTGACAGCAGGCACGTAGCCAGGGAGGGGGCTTGAGGGGCTTCAGCCCCACCCCCCGAAATTTTCAGAGAATGGACCAAAATTTTTTTAGATTTACAAAACATATTGGCATTAAGCATTAAAGGATAATTATACAGAGTTCAATTTTGGGGTAATGGGATAATTATACAATATCAATAAATGAACAAGCAATGTAAGCTCGATCAAAATTATGTTATCAAATTTTGAAATAGAGGGTTTTACAACTTGTTATAACAACACAATTGGCAGCATTGTGCAGTTCGTGGGAGAAATGGTGCATCATGAGTGACGCAGGCCTGGCCGCGGGCCGCCCACCTCGCTAGTGTCGCTAGGCTAGCAGTAGCATTCAGACAGTGTCAGACGACAGACGATCTGGCTGTATTTTTCATTTTTGAATCTGTGTTGTTGTTTGACGTTGTGGTCAGTTTGTGTCGGACGGGATAAAAGATGAAACGAACAACTCAAGCCAGCATCACATCATTCATCAAAAAACTGAAACAGGAAACTAATTTGTCAATAGGTAAGCGTACGAAAGTAATTTTGGAAAAATGTAACAATTTGAATTTAAATTTGAACAAGTGTGTAGGACAAGGGTATGATGGAGTTGCCACCATGTCTGGCCATCTTACTGGAGTTCAAACCAGGATCAGAGAGAAATACCCAAAAGCAAGGTACTTCCATTGTGCCAGCCATAGATTAAACCTTGTATTGGGTGATACATTTTCAAATTTTTGTGTTAGAAACTGCTTAGGAGCAATAAAAGAGATTACAAATTTCTTCAGAAACAGTACACACGCTAACAATATTTTACAACACAATATTAACATTCATGCCGCTGATTCAAAGAAAAAAAGGCTAACACGTCTATGCGAAACACGTTTCGTTGAAAGACACAACAGTGTGTTAACATTTGCGGAGCTATTGCATCCTATTGTTGTAAGCTTAGAAGAAATATCACAGACACCCCAGAAAATATCTTCTTCAGCAGCAAGCTTCTTGGCTACAGTTGGAAAAAGTGACTTCATCGTGAGCCTGTTTGTGTGTGAAAAACTCTTTAGCCTTACTTTGCCCCTGTCTGTATCACTTCAGGAAAAAAATCTAGATATGGTGTCTACTATTAACCATGCAGAAACATTATTGGAGTCTTTGAAATCTATGAGAAATAATGCAATGAATGATTTTAGAGACATGTTTACTTCAGCTGAAACACTAAGTCGGGAAATATTTGAGTGTCCATTGGCAATTCCCAGACTGATTTCACGTCAGCCACATCGTTCAAATCCAGAGACTAATTCAATTGAAGATTATTTCAGAGTAACAATGTACATACCATGTGTTGACTCACTTATTCAAAATTTAACAGAAAGGTTTTTAGCGAATGAAGACATTTTATCTAGTTTTCAAATCCTCCTTCCGGGATTTACAAGTCCTGAAAAAGTAAATCTGTTGGAAAATCTAACTCAATATTTTGAGGGGAATCTATCTCTAGCTGCTGTAAAAGCTGAGTATATACTGTGGTGTAACAGTACAAAAGGAGAACTGAAAAAGGAGACTGAAGTTTTGAAAGTTCTTGAACTATGTGACAAAACGTACTACCGGACAATACATTACCTCCTGACGGTATTAGCTACTATGCCAGTGACCACTTGCAGTGTGGAAAGGACTTTTTCAACAATGAAAAGGGTGAAAAGTGTTCACAAAAGTTTAATGTCAGATAAAAAGTTGAGCGCACTAGTTATGGTAGCCACTCATCGAGATATAAATATAAAACCCGATCATATAATTGACAAAATGGCAGGCGCGAAGAAAAGGAGACTGCTACTATAATTTAATTGAATTGAACCACAATACTGTAAATTAAGCAGGAGTTAAATAAAACTATCTGTAAATTGTATGTTTAATTTGTAAATAAGTACACTTTTATATATATGTTGTTCAATTATACATATTTTAAAAGTTAAAGTCTTTCATGTTATTTATTTCTTCCCGTCATCGTCATTATTTTTTATTATAAGTATACACTATTTATTCTTGGAATAGTCTACATTTAAGTTTACATATGAGGCAGACCCGAAATCAACCCATCAAATTAGCCCCCCCCCCCCAAAACCAAATCCTGGCTACGTGCCTGAGTGACAGAAAGTTTAAATAAATAAACGAATATGATATATGACAATTGACAATATGAATTTATGAAATCTATGAAATGTGCAGTAAAAAATGCAAGATTTCTCCGCTACTCGCGCACGATCGTTTCTCGTATCCCCTCCAAGTACTTGCACGTCGCCAATAGGCCAGGATCACTACTGTAAGGACTGCCTATAACTCAATGTGTTGTTGCCCATATTCCGCCACTAAGAGGTATGATATATGAGTTACTGTTATATGTATTAATAACAATACCTAAATACAATAAATAATAAATTTTTAAAAAGTTGTTTCTTTTTTATTATTTATATTTTAAACAAATTATATTATATTTAAATAATTCAATCAATTAGTATGTTTACTTCTAACGCCACCTGTTGACATCTTAAAAAAACATATGTTGTTTACTTCTGATAGACCTGTCAAATTCATATGAAATATTGTGTGTGTTAAAATATTAAACAGATGATTTAATATTGTTATTAATCTGATCACTTTTAAATTTTTACATTTGTTGCGAATCGAATCTTTTATATTCTTTTAATTTTTTACTTCTTATTTAATATCTGTATTTTGTTCAAACTTGCTTAGAATAAATATATGATGACTTGAAACGAATTACGCTTCCCGTGACAACGCTCGAAAAAATTAATACAAAGGCAGTATAAAAGCTTCGCTTCACAAATACCATATCGTTTAGGACTTTAAACACTTCGCTGTTTTTATGAGTCATTTTCTGGCAATAAACCATTTTGACTTTAAGTTGAAAACCATGATATTTTCCTAAGTACAGACCTGCATAGTAACAAAATTTATACCAATACCACTCTGAAACTGACTTTATCGCATACCGTACAGTATGGCCGACGATCAAGTAACCTTGGCCTTGCATCAAAAAATCAAAGGCGGCATTTGTTATTGTGAATTGTGAAGTGAACCTTTCATTTCAATCTGTGTTCTGTGTTTATTCTGTTTTGATTTGAATCACAGACACTTATAAAAATAGGGTGTCTTGAGTGAATAAGTTGATTGAAAGTAATTTAATAACCTTGAGGTGACTTTTTAAAGAAAAATTATATAGTTATAAAAAGTTATATAAGTGTAAGTACTATTTTAATGCTAGGTATAACTTTACAAGTAATAACAAATTTACAATAACTCAATTAAGATTATATTTTTTATTTGACTTAATAAATTATAAGTGATAACCTAAAATATAAGTTACATGTAGTTATATAAAGTGTAATTCCAAATCTTCATGTGACTGATTATGACTATACAAGTTACTTAAAGACAGAATATATTTATTACACAAAATAGACAATAGACAAAATAATTTTGATAATGTCCAGTGTCGAAATTATTCTATTAAATTGAAACAATTATAATTGATGGTTAGCAAAAAAATATTTTACTATAGATCGTAGATGTCCTCCTATGGATAGCATTAACTTTTTTACCCATAGGTATTACATAAAAAGTTTAAAACCACAATAGAGACATTAAAAAAAATTATCCGAAATATTAAATACGTAATTGAAACGTTTCCAAAGTTGTAATTAAAGATGAATTGCTCTTTTTTTTTGTTGTTTATCAAATAATTCCATAGAATATGTCCATTCTTGACATGTTAGTTTAACAGGAAACTTTCCTTTCCAATTAGTGTAAATGTAGGTACTACCTCTAAGGCTCTCTGTCTTCTAGAAAGCAGGAAATACACATGCCTGTAAAATGGGAAAGTAATTTGCATACCAGTTGCTGGTATAAGCCAGTAACTGGTATGCATAAAACACATTTGCGAGTACACCATCTCATGCAAGCTACTTGCCAGTAGCTTGCATGCATGTACTGGCAACACAAAAAAGCAGGAGTAGATATAAAACCAGAGATACACATGCTCATGGCCACAGGTATTGTTAGAAATTTAATAATGAAAACCAAATCAAACTAAAAAACAGAGAAATATGTTGCTACTCTGCAAGCATGCACAGTACATCAAAAAGCACGCTACTGGCATGAAAAATCACATTGCAATTAGCTAGCATGCCAGAAACTGGCATGCTCGTAAACGTTTACACTTGCCAGTTTGAGTATAGTAGCTGACATTGTAACCTGGTATAGTAGCTGGTATACCATTGTAATAGTAACAGGAATGTGTATCCCCGGCCTAAGCCATTATGACTATAGTAGTAAAATTCACAATAGTATATTTATTTTTTGCTCTAACTTCTTGTAATATGCTTCCATCTATACATTCGAAGAAATATATAACAATATTTGACTATGATATATATATATATATATATATATATATATATATATATATATATATATATATATATATATAACTAGATGCAGCCCTATAAATATACATTGTATCTTCACTATCAGCTATCTTCAACTAAAAATGTTGAATGTTCTTTTTTTGTCAAACAATTAAAGTGACTGATCATAATTCTATATAAAAACAACAAAAATAAATCTTGCTTTTGATTAAAATCGACACATAGCTAAAAATAACTTGAGTTTGAATGAAAAAAAAAGGAACAAAAATTTTTGCGTACATAGTTTCTCTTTTATTTTTTATTTGTTATACAAATATAACATCAGAAAATGTTGTAGAAATTGTTGTAAAAGTTGTTTTTAAATAGTTGAACTGAGAAAAATAAAAAATATATAGTCAGAAAAGTATAGGTATGATTGATCATGAATTAGGCATGTTAAATGATACTTAATACAGGTCATTCAAGGCTTGCACATTTTAGAGGCAAATTTTTACCTGTTTTGGTTTCTTTAAACTGATTCAGATAGTGTTTTTTATTCATAATTGAATCTAATTTTAGAAACAGAAAAAACAGAATATTTTTTTCATTTTTGTGTAGTGAACACATTATGCAAAAATTATTTGTATACAGTTTATTTTAATCTAATTATTTTTTCTTTTTATTTTTAGATGAACTACATTTCAAATTTATTTGTGAAAACACAGCATCTGAAACTTACTACTTTGGTTAGGTTTCAACATAATCTGGAATCATCACATAAAGTTAACAACTTGGAAAAGAAATTTTTGGTATGGACTGGCAAATATAAAAATGTTGCAGAAGTACCACCTTATGTTACTCAAAGTACAATGGAGAGGTGTAGAAACAGAATGAGAATTAAAATTGCAAATTACATGATGGCTGCTACTGCTTTAGGTTGTGTTCTTATGGTATATTTAGGAAAACGAGATGCTAAAAGGGGAATAACTTTAAGTCAGGAGAATAAGGATTGGCATGCTAAAATTAAAGCTGAACATGAGGCCAAAAAGGATAGTGCATAAGTTAAAACTTTTTTATTATATGAAAAATATAATGAGTGGGCTGCTGAAAACAGTCCATCCTCATATTTGACAATATTCATAAGACTGTGAAAATGCTGAAATACATAGATTTTTGAAGAACCAGTAGTTTCATCATAATTGTGAACAACCACCTCTTGGGTGAACCAAAAATTTTTGACATCTAAATGTGATATGTGATGGAAAAAATTGGTTGGTATAGATACATAGGCATTTAATTTTATTTTTAAAAGTTGTAACACTCAATAAATTATATACCATCAGATGAAACAACCATTTTGGACACCTAAATGTAATATATATGATGAGAAAGTTTGGACACATTACAGAAACATAGGCAGTGCATTTAATTTTTAAAAGAAAACTTAATAACTCCATTAAATGGAGTTAGTATGAAAATAAAAATCATGCCTAAATACACCATCACATTGCTTGCCTAATACTGTGCAGCTTATAGTATATTCTCAATTTAAAATTAAGGGGGTGTTGAACTGGAAGGGAGGTGGTGACAAAAATATCTCCTTTGGAATAAAAATCAACTGATCATTGCAACAAAATCTAATGAATATTTTCAAATATCAGGGTGATCCACTCTATATGTTTCCTAGTAAGAATTTCAATATCTAGTCTGTGCTCAGGGATATATTATTTTAACAACATATTGAGCTTAATTTGTATTACATGTTATGTTATTTGTATATTCTATTTTTCTTCTGATTTAAAAAAAAATCATGTATTATGTAATACTTAATCTGATTATTATTTATTAAATGCTAAAGAATTTTCCAATAATAGGTTACATAAGTACAAGGTTTTAAAGTTAAATTTAATTTTATCAAATATGTTAAATTTTATGTTTGTCTTCATGTATTTATTTATTCTTTTGGTGCTAAGCAAATGAATTACTGATTGTTAGACTTTTTTATTCTGGCATAAAATGCGCTTTTAGATATTCCATATGATATATGGCACAAAGAATATTTAAAACTCTGTAATATTTTTTGCAAGGCAATTTTCATGTATATAATATTTAGACTTAGTAATTGTATACAACTACTTACATAAAACGTTTTTGTTTTCACGTTGAAAGTTACTCTATTAAATTGTACTTACTAATTGTCAGAAATAAATATTGTTTTCAAGATGTTAAATATTTTAGTTAAAATACTTTTTGTATAAATATATTTTAAAATACATTTGTATTACCATAGACTTTATTTTCATTGTTAAGTTTCAAAATAAATTAAGTATTTTTTTAATACATATTTCCTATTATTTACTATATATTTTTCTGTATTTGTTGTGATTTAAAGTTTCAACTTTATGATTTACAATTTTTTTCAATTTTTAATTTATTTTATAATTTATTGTAAATTCATTTCAATATTTAATAGCTGGATCCACATTTGAGGCGGTGAAAGAGAAATTGGTGTAACTTACTTTTTTGTATAAGTAAATAGTGGTGCAAATATTAACCCCTAGAACTCACTCATAGATAGCAACACAATATTGACTGCGTTGGCAGTGGCAATTGGCGATGTATATGAAGTATAGGGGGCGCTTTGACAGATAATCAACTGATCGAGCATGACAGTAGGATAACAAACCAAACTACCATAGCATATGAGACATCGTTTTAAGTGAAGCAATCTCTGTATTTTAAGCAATCTATTAATTTTTAGTTATTTTAATAATGGAAAATAAGGATATTTCTAAATATGTATGCGACACAATAAGACCTTTAAAAGACATTGAGAGGGAACAACACCTTTCTTTAAAATTTTCTTTTTCCCTGCTGCGGCTAGAATATAAATTTTAATTAAGATTTGTATTAGTAAATTACATAAAAGAAATAAGACTTACAATCAATTTATTGTGCCACCAACGACCGGTTTCGCATATTATAATTTGCTATGCATCTTCAGGTGAATGGTAAACTAAATGCTAAAAATTTAATAACCCATATTAGGGTCCTGCCTGGTACAAAACATATAGCAATTATGCCAATAATATATGCTTGCAATTTATTAAGTGTGAATAAAAATATAAAGCTTTAGAAAAGTACATTTTGTCTATATTATGTTAAGCATTCTGCAATTTTTGATTTATATAAAACAACCATGAGTAAATATTTGTTTCTTTGCAGATTAATTGCAGTTAATTATTAGAATTTTGTTAGCAATTACCCTTTGGTAGTTCAGGGGATAGATTTGGCAATCGTCAAATCAGCAGTTGCCAGATTACAAGAGATGTTTGCAATTAATCTCGAAAGAGACAAATATCTACTCGTTACTGCTTCATATAAATTAAAAATTGCAGAATTCATAAAATAGTATAATCAAAATGTACTTTTTAAAAGCTTTATCTCTTTATATTTGAAGCATACAATATATGCATCGAATCGAATATGAATCGAAAATTATTTGAGGAATATGCCAAATGGGGGCTTACTGTAAACATAAGCAAAACAGAATATTTAAAAATTGGAGGAAATACCACAGATCTGAGGCTTGAAAACGCAGTCATAAAAGGCTGCAACCAGTATAAATATCTAGGAAGCATCATATCAGCAGATGGCAGAGTTAAGATAGATGTACAAAACCGAATAACCCAAGGGAAAAAATGCATCCGAATACTGAATTCATTACTGTGGTCTAATAAAATGAAGATGCATACCAAACTTCGCGTATACAGAGCAATTGTAGAACCAATTACCACATATGGTGCCGAATGTTGGACGATGACAAAGAATGAACGAGATAAAGTAGACGTTGTGGAAATGGATTATCTTAGAAGGTCATGTCGAGTATCGAGAATGGAAAGAATCAGGAATGAGGAAATACGAAACCGTACAGGAATTAGAGATACTCTTTCAGATAGAATACAAGGAAGGCAATTACAATGGTATGGTCACGTGATGAGAATGGAGGAGGAGCGGTGGCCAAAGAAAGCCTTAATGTATGTTCCGCCAGAAAGAAGCAAAAGGGGAAGACCACCAAATTCCTGGAGAAGAGAAATTACAAAAACAATGCAATCTAGAGGCTTAGAAGAGGGAGATTGGAGAGATAGGAAAAGATGGAGGCTGAAATGCGGGAAGCGGCAATCGCCGTAGGACCCCCGTTATATGATGATGATGATGACAATATATGCATTATAAAAACATGCAAACACTACCAAGCCGAAATATTTTTGACATTTGCGGCTATATTCAGCTTGTACTTTCGGTAAATTCAACCATAATTTTTGTTCTTATTCAGGGCTCTGGATGAAATTTCAATTTAAATATATAATGATAAATGATACGGTGCTTTTAGAGTTCTATTTTTAGAATCGCATGCTGAAAATAAAAACGCACAGCACAATTTATTATTACAGTCAATATCTGTGTGTCACCATAATTCAGTTTGAATCAAATTCGAGCATTGATTGTGTCACTTAGTCGTTTGATCAATTAAGTTTTGAAAAATACAGCCTTTCACATCTGGAGCATCAAAAAAAAAACGTGTTTTGTCAATTGAAAAAAAATGAAATTATTGCAGAACTAAAGAAAGGTGTTTTTCCTGTCGCATTGAACAAAAAGTATGATGTTCCGATAATAACAGTCAATGATTTAAGAAAAAAGCTAAAGGAAAGAAAAAATTGAGTGCCGCAAGTATTGAAGTCGTTGACTAATATAAAAGAAAGTTGCAAGTGGTGACCATCGCCTTCCTTAGTTATTGATTGGTACACCACGTTGTTTCACGGGAAAAATATGAACGGGCTTTCCGTTAACTACTACGCGCAATATAATGAATGGATATCCCAGGAAATATTCGCAATATAAAAAAATTGCCACCAAAGGCGATTCTCATTTTAGACAATGCACCTGCCCATCCTGAAGCCAGTATGTTGCGAAGTGACAATAAAAATATCACGTGCTCTTTTCTGCCTGCGAATTCAACATCATTGATACAGCCAATGGATCAATCGGTCATTAAAACATTCAAAAGAAGATACAGAAAAAACTTTGTATAACAAACATTGTATAAACAAAATGTTCTTTTCTAAAGCTTTATCTTTTTATATTTGAATCATACAGCATCTACATTATAAAAACATGTCAACACTGCTAAACCGAAATTGTTTGTTACTTGTTTGACATTTGTAGCTATGATCAGCTTGTACTTTCGGTAAACTCAACCCATTAATAATTGAGTCAGATTGACAAACCAAGCATTGTATTGGGACATTAGTGCCATTGGGTATCACCAATCTGACAGGAAAGTTTTTATTTAATATTCTATGATTATATCTGTTTCTATATCCATGGTACATTAACAAACCAAAGTCCCAAAAACAACAAATAGCCTCCTCCTCCTCATTCCTTAAACCCTTTTTAAGATGTGGGTGGAGACACTCTAAATATTGTGAGCTTGCTGTCTCCGTTGGCTGCAATTCTGTACCAGATGGACAACTTCATCAAGGGATTTTTTCACCAATCTTTATTTAATCTTCCCATCGTGTTGGAGATCTTCCTTTCAGCGCCGGTTCTTCAAGGTTCTCGGGCGGTTGTTCCGAAATCATATGGTAATAGTTAAATAAAATTTGCATACAAATCCACATGCTATAATAATAATAAAATGTTCAGTTTACGTTACCAAGCTTCCAGGGAATTGGCATTTAGAGGTACTCATGAAAGAATTGGCGAAAAACTGAATGGAAACTACTTAGTTTTACTGGAACTATTTTCAGAATATGATCCATTTTTAAAAGAACATATTAATAAACGAGAAAATTTAGGTAAGGGCAAAACGTCATATCTATCAAAAGATACATGTAACGAATTAGTGAATATTTTATCCAATCGACTCATTAATTAAATTGTTAGGCACATTAAGGCAAACAAATACTATTCTATAAGTGTAAATTCAACACCTGACATAATACACCATGACCAACTTACAGTGATTTTAAGATATTTTGACAATAAAGGGAATCCCATGGAAAGATTCATGAGATTTTATAAAAGCACTGGACATAGCTCACAAAAACTTGATAATAAGAGTTATTGGGATAGTAGAGTCTTTGAAATTAGATATTAAGAACTGTAGAGGAAAGTGTTGCGACAATGCCAGTAATATGGGTGGCAAGTATTCTAGTTTGCAAGCACATACTAGAGTTTACAATGATTTAGCTCTCTATGGTTTGTTCAAAATGCACCAAATTGTTGTTTGGAAGCAACATCTTTGTTTATGTTGGTGTAGGCTATCTTCAATTTTTTCTCTGGTTCTACGTATAGATGGAAATTATTGTCCCGTGTAATAAACGATTCGCCGGAGTCGGGGCAGACACTGTTACCTAAAAGAGTGAATAAAATCCATTGGTCTTCTCGTTTTGATGCCGTAAAAACATTAAACAGCAATTACGGTTTGATTAAAATGCCAACGGATATAAATGAGAAAAATGTAGTAGGAGTTGAAGCAACTTCTCTATCGGAAAAGCGAATATTTTTTTCACTCTGGCTTGACATTTTACAAAGGGTTAATTACAATTCGGAGAAAAGAATTTGGTCGCAAGTTTAAGCCAAAACGAAAAAAATGCGAACACAATGATATGTTTTTATAATAGACAATATTAAGTCGATTATTCGCTGATCTGTTTAAACTAAAAACTACGAATGATAAAGATATTTTCAGATCACTAACCGCATTACAATAAAAATACAAGGAGGATTTGAACGAGTATTTGTGTTCATTTGAAGCATTTGTTAACGTCTCCTCTCCAATTAAAAATAGACATTCCTTTAGAATTGGTACAGGTTTTTGTTACGTTGTCTCTGTGGGCTTTTAATAAGATTGACGACCAGTTTCTTTTTAATATCTTTTATTAAAGACCAACTAAACTTAATACATGATTATATCTAACGAGCCATCATCTTCTTCTTCCTGTCTGCTGTCAATGTCCTTCACCTGTCACCTATGTTAAGGTAGGTTTACAAATATTAAGGTAGATTCACATAACATAACATGCCCCTTTTTTTTTAACAAAAAAAAACTAAACTATCCTAACAACCTAAATCTACCCGCAACACTACACTGCCGCATTACTCTTCTGAAAATGAAAACCTTTTTGGTCTATTTACAATTCGACCACTCCTGGTACAAAATTGATTACTTACATTTAGTCTATGTGACCTATTTAAGTTAACATTTAAATTGTCATAACTTTGATTTGAAATTGATGTATCGTTGTTCATATTTGGAGCCTCATACAAATTGGAACTAGCTGCTGTACTATTTTCATGCTTAACTATCACCTCACTATTTTGTCTACTAATTGTACTGGCAGGCTTTAATATGTGTTGTCTGTTCCTACGATAATGTACACCTTCAGGTGTTCTGACGACATATGATCTTGGAAAAGGACCTATTTCTATCACAGTAGCTGGTAACCACGGTGATGATGGAACCTTTTTATAAAATACATTTTCTCCAACAAAGAGATTCGGTAAGTTTCTAGCTGACCTATCATGATATTCTTTTACTTTCCTTTCTTTTTCCTTAACAAATTTGCTATATTCGTTCCTATCAATTGTTTTTGGTATGAGTATTTTTTCACTAACAGGTAATTTCATTCTTAAATTACGTGACATTAATAACTGAGCTGGAGAATAACCACATTCTAACGTTGTATTTCTGTATTGCAACATTCCCTGATATGGATCAGAGCCTGACTCTATACACTTATTAAAAATATTTTTTACAGTTTGAACTGTCCTCTCTACCAAACCATTACTTTTTGGATAATAAGGACTAGAACTTTGATAAGTAATGTCCCAATCTACTAAAAATGACTGAAACTCTTTTGATGAGAATGGGGGACCATTATCAGACATTAAGATCAATGGTATTCCATGTCTCGCAAATATAGACTTCATTGTACTAATTACCTCTTTTGCTGAAGTATTATTTAAAGGCGCTATTTCAAAGTATTTAGAATAATAATCTACTAATAATATATATGTGACTTTACTATAATAAAAAAGATCAACACCAATTTTCTGCCAAGGCAAAGTTGGTATTTCATGTGGTAATAGTTGTTCTGGACTATTTGATCTATGATATTTAAGACATGCTGGACACTCTCTAAAAAAGATATTTTACACAGATGGAAAGAATACTGTGGACGACTGATGATGGAGGAAAGCACAGACGCCCCATCACAACAAGAAGATGCCGGTTTTGCGACGGAACCTGACGTACTCAAAAGTGAAGTTGAAGCAGCAATTATGAGGCAAAAAAGTCAAAAAGCTGCCGGTCCAGATAACATACCTATTGAAATGATTTGGGCCCTAGATGACGTTGGAGTGGATATAATACATCAAATTTGTCAAAGAGTGTGGGAGACAGGTAAATGGCCTGAGGACTGGACACAATCACTATATATTCCCATACATAAAAAGGGAGCGAAAGATTTATGTAGCAACTATCGCACAATTGCTCTAATTGCGCATTGCAGTAAGATACTCTTACACATAATTCTCGAGAGGATAAAGCCCTTTTTACTACCTAACATTGCGGAGGAACAAGCAGGTTTCGTCCCAGGACGTGGTACTAGAGAACAAATTTTAAACGTACGGCAGATTGTAGAAAAATCCAGAGAATTCAACATCACAACATATTTGTGCTTCATAGATTATAGTAAAGCTTTCGATTTGGTCAACTGGAGTAAAATGTGGCAGGTTTTGTCTGAAATGGGAGTCCCTAATCATCTGATACTGCTAATTAAAAGCCTGTACAATAACAATTATGCCAGAGTTAGAATAAATGGGGAACTAACTGACAGTTTCAGGGTCACAAAGGGCGTGAGACAAGGCTGCATACTAAGCCCAATTTTATTTAACATCTATGGTGAATGGATAATGCGGAAAGCTACTGAGGACTGGAACGGTGGCATCACCATTGGCGGGAAGAAGATTTGCAACTTGAGATATGCAGATGATACTACTATCCTCGCTAGTTCTGAAACTGAATTGATTCACCTGCTACAACGGATAGAAGACGTAACCTTATCGATGGGCCTTAAAATAAACAGGGATAAAACGAGAATCATGATAATTGACAGAGCTAACAACAATCAAAATCATCTGGTTAGGATAAACAATATCGCTGTTGTAGATAAATTTGTGTATCTGGGCTCATTAATAACCAACAAAGGAGGCTGTACTGAAGAAATAAAGCGGCGGTCAGCAATCGCAAAAAGCGCTATGGCAAAATTAACAAAAATTTGGAAAAGCCATGAAATTACTACCGATACAAAAATGAGACTAGTAAGAAGTCTAGTTTTTCCAGTTTTTACTTATGCATCGGAATGCTGGACCCTTACTGAGAAAGACAAAAAGAACATAGATGTATTTGAGATGTACTGCTGGAGACGAATGCTGAGAATACCATGGGTGGCCCGAAGAACAAATGAATCCATACTGGTCCAGCTAAACATAAAGAAAAGACTAAGAACACAAATAACAGAACAGATAATAAGCTATTTTGGACATGTGCTTCGAAGAAATGGTCTTGAAAAACTTACCATCCAGGGAAAAGTAGAAGGCAAAAGAAGTAGAGGTAGATCTCCTACACGATACACGGACCATATTGTTGCTACCATTGGCGCTCCATTGTCAGAATGTGCTAGATTGGCAGAAGATAGAAAAACGTGGAGGAACATTGGAAAAATTACCTAACAGCTTCATGATATCACGATACCTGCATCAGGTTAACGACTAAGAAGAAGAAGAAGGACACTGTTCAACTTTATTCTTTATATCTACTGACATGCCTGGCCAAAAAACTACTGTACGTGCTTGTCGAATACATTTTTCATATCCTAAATGACCTTCATGAATTATTTCTAATATAACTTGACGCAATGACTCAGGAATTATTATTTGATTTCCTCTAAAGACTAATCTATCCACAACATGTATTTCATGATTGAAATTGTAATACGGTTTAACCTCCGTTTCCAATTTATTTTTCGAACTTGGCCAACCTTCATTATAATATCTTAGTATTGACTGTAAAACTCTATCAGTTTTGGTTGCTGCCTGTATTTCCATTAATTTCTTTGAAGACACAGCTAAATTGTTAACTAATAAACTTCCATGTATACGTAACTCTTCATCTCCACTATCAGTATTATCTGGACCTTCTACTGGTGCCCTACTTAATGTATCTGCGATGAAAAGAAATTTTCCTGGAGTATAGCTAACTTCTAAATCATAAAGCTGTAAGTTTAGCATCATCCTTTGCAAACGTGCTGGAACCTCAGATAATGGTTTTTTTAAAAAGACTGACTAATGGTTTATGATCTGTTTCAACTTGAACTTTTCTACCATAAATGTATTGTTTAAATCTAGTACATCCGAACTGTATTGCATATAACTCTTTTTCTATTTGTGCATAATTTGACTGAGCCTGTGACAAAGATTTAGATGCATATGCTATAGGTTTTTTGTTTTGTAAAATCACTGCACCAACTGCAAATTGTGAACTATCAACTGATAATGTTAAAGGTAAATTGTTATCAAAATATGCTAGTACTGGCGTTTGACTAATCATTTCTTTAAGCGACTCAAATTCTCTTTCATGCTCTTCTGTCCAATGAAAACTAATATTTTTTTTCAATAACAACCTTAAATTTTTTGTAGGCTCTGCTAAATTATCTATGTACTCACCTAAATAATTAATCATTCCCAAAAATCTTCTAATATCAGCTACACTGTTAGTAATAGACATTTGACAAATTGCACTTACTTTACTAGAATCTGGACATATGCCTTCTGCACTAAAAATATGACCCAAATATTTTATATCTGATAATAGAAATTTGCATTTGTCCATATTGAATTTTAAATTGAATTGTTTTGCCCTTTCTAGTACTAGTTCTAGTATTTTATTGTGACCTTCCAAAGTTTCACTATAAATTAAAATATCATCTATATATAAACAAACTCCTTCTATGTCTCCTACTATTTCATTCATTACTTTATGAAAAATCTCAGGAGCGCAGCTTATACCGTAAGGTAATCTTGTAAATCTAAACCTTCCAAAGGGTGTATTAAATGTGCATAGCTTAGAACTCTCTAAATCTAATGGTATCATCCAAAACCCTGACTGTGCATCTAGTGTTGAAAAATATTTTGCTTTTGCTAATTTTGACCTAATCTCATTAAATGTTGGTATAGGATAATGACATCTTTTTATAGCTTTGTTTAAATTACGGGGATCCAGACAAACTCTCAAACTTTTATTACTTTTTTCGACTAAGACTATTAAATTTACCCATTCACTTGCTTCATTGACTTTTTCTATTACTCCCGTAGACAACATTCTATTTAATTCTTCTTTTAATTTATCATGTAAAGAAAAAGGTATTCTTCTTGGCGGTTCTATTATAGGTTTAATATTTTTATCAGTTTCTAAGTGACATACATTAGGTAGACAACCTAGACCAGCAAAAACTTGTTTATTTTTCTCTATTATAGACTCATGACTTACTAGACCAACTCTTTTAATTAATTTTAATTTATGACAAGTATCTAGACCCAAAATTGTTTGACACTCCAAATTCACAATAATGAACTCAATACTTTCTAACCTATTCTCAATTTCACATAACAAATTTACTTTTCCTACTATAGGTATGACATCATTTGAAAAAGACTTTAAATTTATACATGTAGGTACCAGTTCTAACTTTTGTACATTAACCTCATTAAAAATTTTTATTGACATCACATTAGCTTGTGCACCTGTATCTAAATAACATACTACATTTATTTTATTGATTCTGACTACAATTGACCAATTCTGATTAATACTATTCTGACTAATAGTTTTAATAACAAAACATGAATCATTTTCATTATTAGATGATTGTACTGTACTTTCTCTTAAATTTATATTATTTATTCTTTTAGTTTGACAACATTTTGCATAATGACCTTGTTTTTTACAATAATGACAAATAGCTACTAATGCTGGACATTTATTTCTATGATTTTCACCACATCTTTGACAAACTTTTCTTACCACTTGATTATTTTCACTATTCTTACTCTGATTTGCATATCCATTATATCTTGATTTAAAATTCTGACTTGTTACCTGACTTTGACTGTTTATGTTCGTACCATCTATGTTGTACCTTTGACTATCATTTCTCCAACTTGGACCTGGGACTTCATTTCTATACCTTGAATGATTTGAAAAATTTGGACCTGGACCATCTTTATTCTTCTCTACTTTGTATACCACTGCTTCTGAATTTTTATTTAACTGTTGTGCTTGCATTTGAGTTGTAATTATATTTTGAGCAATTTGTAATACCTTTTCTGTCTTCAGATCTACTTCTTGCAATAGTTTTTGCTTAATTGAATGGTATTTAGGATTTAAACCAATAATGAACATGTCACACACCAAACTTTCTTTTAAAATTGCTAATTCACATGTTAAACTCAAATTCTTTAGACTAGTCATAAAATCTTCAATGGTTTCACCATCTTTCTGTACTCTGGTAAGAAAATAATGTCTTTCTACTGTTAAATTTTTCTTCGGGTTACAGTATTTTTCAAATTTCTCTACAACTTCTTGAAATGTTACAGTATCCATGTTAAACTCAAATGACTTGTAAATATTTCTTGCATCTGTACCAATATAGTGCAATAATAAAGCTACTTTTCTCGCATCGTTTTCTTCCTCTAAACCTGTGGCTCTCAAAAATATTTTGAAATTTATGCTCCATTCTCCCCAGTTATGTGCCAAATTTCCTTGCATTGACAACGGTTGAATTTCATTTCCTATCACGTTACTTTTTATTTTTACAACGACAGGTTGATTCTGCTCTATAGAATCTTGTTCCGACATGGTTGAACTTTACCTTTTGACCGTTTTTTAATTAATTTCTTTTAACACCAACCAGATCACCACGTGCTGCTAGACCATGTTTCGACTTTTGTATGACTATTATAATACTCGTTACTATAATCTGACCTGAATTTTTACTTCTGACACCATGTTACGTTGTCTCTGTGGGCTTTTAATAAGATTGACGACCAGTTTCTTTTTAATATCTTTTATTAAAGACCAACTAAACTTAATACATGATTATATCTAACGAGCCATCTTCTTCTTCTTCCTGTCTGCTGTCAATGTCCTTCACCTGTCACCTATGTTAAGGTAGGTTTACAAATATTAAGGTAGGTTCACATAACATAACAGTTTTATACGATAATATATTAGAGAGTTTTTAAGCCCCTTATTTCAGTAACGTTAAACGTTATACGTTATTCTGCTCATGCGCATTAACAGAAAAATAACGGATTACTTTATTAGAGGATAAGGTATTCCCTTATTTAGGTAAAGATAAGGTTAACGTTATTAAGGGATTACGTGTTTGTAATGTTGTCAAATGCCAGATATATAAATCATAAAAAACAAAAAAAGAGTCATATGAGCAGCTCTCTTTCCTTGTCTAAGAGCAGAACCAAAGATAACTATGATAGAATAAAAAAAATAGAAAATTTAGTTCAGCATCTTTCTCTTCAATTGTTTCCAACACAAAATGTAGTCTTGATGCAACAGGTATTACAGGATCAAAAATATTGTGAAGAATTAAGCCTCTTATCAAATTGTAATCTATTACTTCTCTGTGTCTTCGTCATCTATTTTCTTAGATTATAGCAAATTATTCAAATAAAATAGGTTATAGAGTATTCACGATTGAAAACAAAGTATCTGACCCTTGGCGGAATAAATTTAAACTACTATAAATGGTATAAACAAACCAGACAGCTGTTGATTTGAATAGAATTATTAAATTTTTTTAGTAAATTTCAACATTATGACTAAATGACAAAAATCAATAACCCTGCTATGACACAAATTGGAATGGACAGAATCCAAAGAAGAAATATACAGATATTTACATCACAATATTTTAAACTGTATTTAACATTATTGTAGGGAGAAATGTTGGAAAATTGTAGTAAAAATCATCCAAGTACATCAGCAATGTATTACAGTATAAATTTTTGTCCAGATTTATCTGAAATTAAACCATTTGGTTATCTGATGAATGATTGTATTGGTCACTATATTTTGTAAATAAAAGATTTATTTTGTTTCAATAATCTATTATTAATAAAAAAACTACCTTGTGAATGCCTTCCTTTTTATTTAGGTAAAACATGAAGATCATTAAATGTTAAAATAAGTGAACAACAAATGTATAATATTAAAAAGTCAGTTCCAAACACTGAAGTTAAAATTTAAGAATTCATCACTTGAAAACTGGGACTTCTTCAATATTGGTGCAATGAACATAACCTCGTTGATATGTTTGACGTTAAATGTAAGCTTAATATACGTCAGTGTTGCCATATACTCAAATATTTCCCACTCTCACATATAAAATTATTGGCAAGATTTATATTATATGAAATGAAAATGTAAAATTGAAAAATACATATATAATTAAACAAAAATGTGAAAAATATATATATTTTTACCTATACATAGGTATATAATTCATTAAAATTATACCTATAAATATTATAAAATAAAATTATATCTTGCATTTCTACATTTAAAAATACTTATATAATAAAAACCATTAAAATTATGCTTAAAAATTAATAGTTTAGAAACTTTATAAATTACAGAATAAAGTAAAGTTAAATGAAAAAAAAAATTAGGTTAAACAAAAGTATTTAGCTATATTTAAAATAAAAAATACTATTTTATGAATGCTTTTTAATATGAATTCAAAAATTGTGGCTGTGGCGTGTACATTTTTACATTTTACAGAAGTAAAACACTTCACATTTACCTAAGTATATACCTAAATACAAATGTGAAGCATTTTACTTCTGTATAAGTTTTTTAAAGCATATATAATTTCGTCAAAGTATCTTTCTATTTTAAACACTCCTATACTTTATACAAAAAAAAAGTGGCAACACTGTGTCACACAAACATATAGCTGGATGCCAGGTTATGTTCATTGCACCAATATTGAAGAAGTCCGAAAACTGCTTCCCCTTCAACCAATGGCCTCTGCTTCACCACCACAAGGCTAATTTCCTTTTTTAAATGATAAAAATAACTCATCTTAAACCAAACTAAACTTTGAAAAGCAATGGTAAACATTCGACTGTCATGTTTGTTTATACCATTTATATCGACCTATAACTGCCGTTTCATAGGTTACGTTCGTCAAATGTCAATTAACGATAATCTGTCATAGCTTAATTTCCGAAAGGATGCAAAAACTATTTTAAGTAAAAACGTTATCCCTTATTTATTATTCAAGGCGCATGACAAGTATAACGTTTTACGTTTAACGTCCATCGAAAAATAAAGGGCCTAAAAACTCTCTATTAATATCTTCATTTCCAAACGTTAATATTTGCCTGCGTATTTTTTCACCATAATTGTCGCAAATACAAGTGGCGAACGCTCTCTTTAGACATTAAAAAGGGTAAAGACCTACTTAAGAAATGCAATTTCCCAAAAAAATTTGAATTTATCAGTTTCATCCATTAACGAGGACCTGCTAATACAATTAAATATAAATTCGATTCGAAAACTTCGCTTCAGTAAAAGCAAGAAAACAAGCTTTTCAGTAGTAAAGGTATTTGATTACCTACCTGATGTTACCTGTTGGAATGATATTAGGTACATTTTTATTTTACTTTTTGAAGTTCGCTTTTAATTTGCTTCTTGTATTTTGTTAGTATTCATTTAAGTTTGAAATAAAAAAAATGTAATTGTTTTCTTTATTTTCATAAACTATTCATAAATTAACTGCGACTTAGCCAAAAATTGGCAAACCTGATCTACTCCTCAGCCCAGAATACCTATAAAGAGATACTCAATAAAATCATTGAAGCAGCTTACGAAGCGCTCGGCACAATCCAAAAGAACAAAAAGAATACTCCATTGTGGTGGACAAATGACATCGCCAATGCAGTACACAACAAGAAACAAGCATATCAAAAGTGGCTGCAAACAAATGATCCAGATGATAGACGAACATATGCAAGATCAAACAGAGAAGTAAAAAACTTAGTAACTAAAGCAAAAAATATTTCCTGGGAAAGTAAATGCGAAGAACTCAACAAATATATAGGGTCAAAAAGATCAAGAGAAGCATGGAAAACGGTAAAAAATCTGAGAACAAACAGAAAAGAAACGAGTAGAATAGATTTAATAGAAGAAAAATCTTGGATCGAACACTACTCACAACTTTTGACTGAAACAAGATCTCAATTCACGAACATCAGTACAACAACATATGAACTGGAATTCAGTGAAGACGATGAAATAACAGTACAGGAAGTCGAGAATGCAATACGAACTCTAAAAAATGGGAAGAAGCAAGTTATCGAGAAAAGATTAGCCCACAACTTTTCAACTCATATAGTCTTTATAGATCTGACAAAGGCATACGATAGTGTACCACTTTCAATGCTTTGGGTAGCAATGGAAAAACAAGGAATAAGCAAAAAAAATATACAAGCAGTACAAACTCTACAAAAATATGACGGCAAACATTAAAACTGGAAATAGATTAACTAGAAAAATTCCTATTAGTAAGGGCCTAAAGCAAGGCTGTTGCATAGCACCTACACTCTTCAAAATATATCTAAATGAGGCACTCTCACTGTGGAGAAGAAAGTGCTGCAATATGGGCATCCCAATCGGAGATGATAGATTGTACACGATACATTTCGCTGACGACCAAGTCATTCTAGCTGAAGACGAGAGTGATATAAGCTACATGCTTAGAAAACTGGAAGATGAGTACACCAAATGGGGCCTTACAATTAATATACAAAAAACTGAGTACTTAGTTGTAGGAGAAAAACCAGAAAGCCTACAAATCGAAATGGGAACTATAAAACCAACAGACAATTTTAAGTACTTGGGAGTCCAAATAACATCAAAAGCAGGAAGTAGCGAAGAAATATATTCCAGGATTGGCCAAGCAAGATCAGCCACCAGACAGCTACACGGACTATTATGGAATAAAAAAATAACAAAAGAAAATAAAAGAAGAATTTATAAAACAATAATAGAAAGTATTGGACTGTATGGCGCCGAACTCTGGGAAATAAACCAAAGAAAAAAATCAAAAATCGAAGCCAAAAGACTTAACTGGTATGGACACCTTCAGAGAATGCCGGAAAATAGATGGCCAAAAAAAAATAGAAGAATGGACTCCGTCAACTAGAAGAAAACGAGGTAGACCAAGACGATCCTGAAGAGACGATGTCGACGATGCAATGACCGCCAGAGATCTAACAACTGAAGATTGCTTCGACAGAAAACGCTGGAAATTAGGATGCGAGAAGCGGCGCCAGCTGTAGAAGACTCGCTTGTTATATATATATATATATATATATATATATATATATATATATATATATATATATATATATATATATATATATATATATATATACATAAGGTTCTTGAACTCCTAAGTGGAGCATAGAGCTTCAGTGAAAACGCGCCATCGGGTTCTATTTTGCGCTAAGGCCTTCACCTCATTCCAAGACTTTCCTTGTTTTCTTATCTCGTCCATGATGGATCGTCTCCAAGTTTGTACTGGGCGACCTTTTTTTCGTTTTCGTTGGGGATTCCACTCTAGGGCAGTCTTTGCAATACTGGAGTTATTTTTTCGGAGTGTGTGACCGATCCAACCCCACTTTCTGGACTTTATTTCATTTACTACCCTCTTTTGTTTGGTCAGGTGTAGTAAATCTTCGTTTCTGATGATGTTAGGCCAGAAAATACGAACAATTCTTCGTAGACATTTATTAACAAAGACCTGCAGTTTGTCTGTAAGGGTTTTTGTCGCT